TAAACGGCGATTATTTTTCGCATAGGTACTTTCTTTCGAATTATCAATTCGATTAAATTATTCCGATATTGAAATCCGAATGAAAGTATGCGATTTATAATCGCCGATTATTTAATCGAATTATCATCCGATTATTGAAATAATCGTATCGGATATAATCGGTTATTGATATAATCCGATTATGCCCATCACTAATATTGTTTTAATTTTCTTCTGTTTTGTTTGATAGAAAGTGTACAACCTCACTTTTTGGCGTGCATCTATCCCCACCACCAAGTAATCAAAATTTCTTATTTGTAAGTGTGCTCCGGAGGTTGTGCTTGATCGGTAAGGGGGGAGGTAAAATTCTCACTTTGGCTTACCTGTCATTTTGCAAATGGAACGGTCTCTAAAGTGAGATAAACCAAGGTGAGGTAAGAATATCTAAGAATCGTGGCAAAAGGAAAGCACCTATAAATACAACCGATGTACGTTTAATGGCGGTACTCCCGGTGTACTTCTAGTCACGGCGATTAATTTATTACACCCAGTGTTGCCAGTGTCAGTACGTTTGTCGATTTCAGTACTTTCGCCGTAAAAAAAGTACGCAAGTACCTCTTTGATGGTTTTCAGTACGTTTTCCAGTTTTAGATTTTTTCTCTTTATTTAAATAAAAATTAAAGAAAAAAATAAAAGTTTAGGTTGGTGGTGATCAAGGATTTTACACAAAATCCTTGTGTGTAAAATCCTTGGGTGATGCCATAGAAATAATACTATTATTATTATTATTATTAATTATTTCTATGGGTGATGCTGAGTTGTTTTAGTATCCTGGTAATTTTAGTTTTAAACTGTTGGCAGCGCGCGTTCTCTGCACAGTGTTGAAATAAGGTTTGTTCCAAGTTCGCCAAGAAATTTATTAACAACAGTTAATACGTTAAATAAAGCCAATAAATCACAGAACGTAATAAATTAACAAAATATACACTTTGTATATTAACAGCTGATGCAACGAAGCCATTAAAAATCAAATGCTACGTTGCTAAAGTGCGATGTATAAAAACTTCAACAAATTTATGACAAAAGCTTATATAATATATATATTATTTAAATAATATAAGAACTCTTGCTGGTTTATTGTATTATATTATTAAAGAGTTTGTAAATTTGTTTTTAGAAGCCATGGCAACGCTGTATAAGAAAATATTCAGTGTATGAGAACTACTATCGCTAACAAAAAAACTCATACAGCTTAAAAATCTAGTGTTCCTGATTTTCTATAATTTCGTTGGCTTTTAACAGGATACGTCACATTTGAAAGGTCTAAAATTAAATACAAAGTTAGGTTAAAGTTTGAAAAAAAAATAATATTTCGTCATCCCTCTGTTTTTGTTAATTACTGCCCGCAAACGGCAAAGCATGGAAGTCGCCGTCTTGCTTTATCTCGTTCCAAATGGCTTCAATGGCTTGCCAGAGTTCGTCTGCATTGTTTGGTTAAAAATGTTAAAAAAGTCATAATGGATGTGACAAAGCTCGATGTCAGCTTGACATTGACGGAAAAGTTTTATTCACACAGCCACAATATAGCTGTATGAGTTTTTTTTGTTAGCGATAGTACGTTAAATCAACATCCAAGGTATTAAAAGAGAGAGGTTTTAAATTTTGGCCTGTGTAAAAAAACACAATTTTAAGCGTCGTGATTGGTCTATAATAAATCCTATTCAACTCAACACTTTATTCTTAAATGGAATGGACTATAGTTAGTACAATTTCACGCTAGATGGCTGCACAATTTTCAAAGTTTCAACACCTGTGATCAAGATAGATACTATCGCTAACAAAAAAAACTCATACAGCTTAAAAATCTAGTGTTCCTGATTTTCTATCATTTCGTTGGAGTAATTATGGCTTTTAACATGATACGTCACATTTGAAAGGTCTAAAATTAAATACAAAGTTGGGTTGAAGTTTGAAAAAAAAATAATATTTCGTCATCCCTCTGTTTTTGTCAATTACTGCCCCCAAACGGCCAAGCATGGAAGTCGCCGTCTTGCTTTATCTCGTTCCAAATGGCTTCAATGGCTTGCCAGAGTTCTTCTGCATTGTTTGGTTGAAAATGTTGTTAAAAAAGTCATAATGGATGTGACAAAGCTCGATGTCAGCTTGACATTGACGGAAAAGTTTTATTCACACAGCCACAATATAGCTGTATGAGTTTTTTTTGTTAGCGATAGTACACCTTATGCCCGTGATTATCATAGAAATAATAATATACTGGCAACACTGGATTTGTAGCATTGCAATGTGTTATACACACATATTTAGAGAACTCTCTAATGGCGGGTTTACGAGTCACTCGCGTGCGTTTGGAGGTCGCGTTTACGCGAGCTAGCCAACGCGCGCAACGGTTTTAACTCATGGTGGGCAATGGGATCGTTTATAAGTGAACTCGCGTGCGTTAAAAGGACGCGTGCGCCAAATCTCAGCCAGTTTGACGCGTCTTGGTTTTTATCCGGGGAAAAAACTTTACGCCGTAAAAAGATCGCGCGCGTTGAAGTCGATATCACGTGACATGGCCAGCCAATGGCATCAGCCGCGTAGCCTGCGTGGGAGAAGTGTTGTGTCAAACATAATTAGCAGACGAGCTAAATTCATTAATATTGCGGTTCGAAGAATTAAAAATGGGTCCATTTTCCCAAAGTATGAGACACGAGACGAAATCAAAACACACGCACTGAGGAACCAGCTGACGTTCGAAGGTGAGCAAACGCGCGCCTTCGAAACTCGTAAATGGGGTCGCGTCAGGAAGAACGCGTTGACGCGAAGGCCCAGGAAACGCACGCAAACCTCAAACGCACGCGAGTGACTCGTAAACCCGCCATAAATATGTGGTTATACATAATCAGTGTTGCCACTTGTAACATAATTATCGAATTGTAACATAAATTTTTCCAAAAACAAAGCTTGAAAATTATATGTAACATAATCGATAATTGTAACATAATTTTTAATCCAAGTATCTGGACAAAATTAACTTAATTCTATCCAGATTAATTAATTTAATTAAGCATAAAGCCTGATTTATAGATTTCCTTCCTTCCTGCCGTAAAAGATCAACAATACCGTAGTGCTGTTTATAGATTCCCGTTACGGTATTTATAGTTCTGAAGGTAACGGTAGAGGCAGCGGTAGCGGTAGCCAAGTTGGGCATTGAATATTATATGAAACAATTTATAGTTGTCAGAGGGAGTAGAGGCAAGAACGTAGCGGCAAGAGATGACCATCTTTCATCTTTTCTTACCTCAACCGCTACTCCAGCCAATCACATGGCAGATTTTAGTTGACAGCCTCGCCTTGTAAGTTTAGTGTTTATGCGAGGGCCGAGGGGTCGCCATTACCGCTATAGTCGCGGCCAAATCTGTATGGGTGCACGTCATCAACGGCATATGACGTCAGCGTTAAGGTCTATTCATACGTGCCCAGACACAATCTAACGCTCGTGTATTGTTGACTGTTTATAGCGGTGGGGGCTGTTATTAAGATGGAATTATAACGTCCTTGTTATAATCTTCTGCACTAACTAATTAGGAGTTTGTTACAGGCAAATTTTTATTAAATGTGTTTAAAGAAAAATCAAACGGAGTTTATTACATTTTTATTACATATGCACATAACAAAAAAATACTAAATTATCAGAAACACAAAAATTATAAATTACCAGTCGTCCTTGTCATCAGAGCAAACCAGGTCAGAATTGAAGTCTGATTATTTCCCCAAATTTATTATTAAGGGCGCAATGTCTTCGAAATCTAATAACGGCTAGTTGCCAACAAGCCTTATATCATTATTTGCACAATCCAGGGATAGAATCTTATAAACATAATGTATAATATTATTTATAATAATTTGCAACAAACGATGCTTCCGGACGAAATGTCACAATTACAAAAATACGTCAAATATAAAATGACAGCGACCCATCAATAATATTGAACGGTGCGCGCCAGCCTTAAGCTATTACCAACTGGCACACACAAAAATTACTAAGTGAATGGTTTTATTTTGATAATTTCGTGAAAAAACGTTTTAAAACAAGGAAATTGTTACAGTTCTTGGTAAACAATACGCAAATGAATGATTTCTTTTTAATAACACATCAGAATTACGCCTTAAAAAAGCAAATTTAACGGCAGTAACTTTACAATTCAAAGTTGGTAATGCTGACGTCATTATATCTCATTGATGACGTGCACCCATATAGATTTGGCCGTGACTATACCGCTACTTTCTGAACTATAAATCCAGCTTTACAGTATTTTTAACAAATTTTATAATTTTCCAAAAAATCCATATTTTCAACCCTGCTTCTTTCACTTTTTTATGATTAAATTATAATAATTATTGTAACATAATTATTACAATTATTGTAACATAATTTTCCGAAAATTCGATAATTTTATTAACCCAATTCGATAATTTCAACTTTTACATCTGGCAACACTGTACATAATATATATGCAGGGTTGGGTCAGTAGAAAACTTTAGGTAATTTACCTTGGTAGAAAAGGGTAGAAAACTTGTTTTCGACTTGTGTCGAAAACCTATAGGGTTTTCTACCTACGTAAATTACCTTATTCGACCTTCTCCTTCCACTTCTCTATAATTGATAAAAATTTGCCCTCATGCCAAAAATTATGTTGGGGTCTCCCAACCAAACGTGGTCCTTTTTTTCCCACCATAATAATGTTAAAAAACTCCAAATAACTTCAAATTTATGGTAGGTGTCTGATTTTTCACAACATTTAACAAATCATAATAAACAACAAACTTGCATAACCCACAAAACTAGTTTTGTGGCATAACCTCACATTTTTTGATATTTGACAGTATTCTACTTTTTTACGTTTTCTACCGTCGAAAACGTCAAAAAAGGTTTTCTACATGTCGAAAACAAAAATGTAGGTAGATACCCAACCCTGTATATATGTGTGACTGCGACGTTGTCGGATTTCTTTCCAGGTAAAAATTTGAAATCGGTATTTCGGCCAACGGGGACGCTTCGATCTAAAAAATATCGTATAGTCTCTGATATAGTTGCTTTATTGTATATAAGTGTATTAATGTAATAATTTGGTGCATATAAATGTTTATTAAGGGTGGTTTAAAATAGTAATTGTTAGTTAGATTCATGAATGTTTTCGTAGACAGGTCGAGGTTGCCGGTTGCTTGACAACGTCTTGAACGTCACATCACGTGACATTTCTGACCCATGAAAACAAGGCGAATAATCTAGAATAAACTGACGTGGTTATTTATTATATGCAGATTGAAGTGAACACGTATTGTTAGTGAGTTATTGGTGTATTTGATGCAAAGTAATCGTCAGTCCAAGGGATATTTTGTAAATTTCAGGTGTACAAAAGAGTGTTGTCTATCAGTGAAAAACAGTTGAAAATCACACGACAAAATGACGCCTTCAGTTGCAACATTTCTAAATTCATTTAGTAATAATCTGTAAGTATATTGTAATTTATAGATAATAGTTGATAATATTAAAAATGTTGTTGTTTGCGATTGCAGAGAAGAACCAGTGAGGGTACATTTGAAGAATGTATACGCCTGTCTGGCAATGTCAACAATGGCTGCCGCCGTGGGAGCTTCGGTTCATTTATTTACCGACATCCTTCAGGCGGGTTTCCTCACGGGAATCGGCTCCTTGGTGTTTTTCATCTTGCTCATGTCCACCCCAGATGACCAGGGCAAAAACCTAAAAACCCGGGTAGGATATCTGTTGGGTTTCACGGCTCTCAGCGGCGTAGGAATGGGGCCCCTTTTGGAGCACGTCATTCTTGTCAATCCAAGCATAATAGTGACCGCCCTGGTTGCCACCTCTTTGGTGTTTATTTCCTTCTCCATTTGTGCCATGCTCTCGCAGAGAGGCTCATGGTTATATCTGGGTGGAACCCTGATGAGCATGCTGATGACTTTAAGTGTCCTCTCAATTGCCAACATTTTCTTTGGTTCCACTTTGCTGTTCCAGGCTCAAATCTACCTGGGACTGTTTGCCATGTGTGGATTTGTGCTCTACGACACCCAGATGATTATCGAGAAGAGGAGGAATGGCAGTAGAGACTTTGTATCACATTCTTTGGATCTGTTTATTGACTTTATTGGCATTTTCAAGAGACTGCTCATCATCTTGACACAGAAGGTAATGTCTAATAGGTACTACAACCCAATTTCCAACCTTGTAAATAAAAATAATCATGTTTGTTTATCCTATCTATAAATAGTTTATCAATTTGAGGCTAATTTAGGTATTATTTTTTTCAGGAACAGGAATCACAGAAGAAGAAGAAATAATGATTTTGAACAAGAATGAAATACTTTTGTTAATTTTTTATTTTCCTGATTAAATTGTCTGATTTAGTTTGTTTTTATTATAATACTTGAGAATATGTAAAAAAGTATTGTTTATTTATTTAAATAAAGTTATTTTTTGTATTTTGCCTTTATTTCATGTCAATTTAAATTGTTTTATTATTCTTATTTAAGTAGGTAAACATGGAAATTATAGATAAATATTGATGCTTTAGTTTTTGAGAAAAACAATTAAAATGAGCCTAATGAAAAGTTGTCAGACAATATTATATAAACATGATTTTTAAGTTATAAAACCCATGTAGTAAAGCCTGCTGCACAATAGCCCCGCCCCGTAACGGGAATCTTAACATTAAAAGTGGGAGATAGTTAATAGAGATGGTCTCTCCCACCTTTACCTTTTAGGTTCCCGTTACCAGGCAGTTGTGCTTTACCCTTAACGACCTTTACTTACACTTTTAACAAACACTGTTCCAAATGGAAATAGGAATTTAAATATAAAAACGATTTATTATTTCACAATTTATTTCATAAAGGCCAACATCCAAGAATGGCCATTACATAATTCATTCCATAATTAATTAAACATAAGGTACTAGGTACAAAAAAATACAGTCAAATTCTTAATCTAAGTTTTAAAATTCACAAATAATATAAAATGCATTTTGGTACTTAAATACTTATAATATTTAATACGGCCTGTGTCTTCCGCCGCCTCCGTCACGGCCGCCGCCACCGCCGCCGTCTCTACCACTGAAACAAATTAACAATGTTTTTACGAAATACTAAGAGTACCGTAAATACGGGTGACTTTGCACCCCGCGGGTGACTTTAACCCATTTATGAAAAATCTTTTCGCGCTCGATAAAATTATCATTTATAATTTGTTGGTCTAAACCTGTCAATTGAGCGATTCTATTGAGTTTATAATAACAGGAAAATCAGTGTTTTAAAGAAAGAAATGGGATTTATTACACTTTAAAATTGTATATATCGTATTAGTGCAAAACTCTTAGAAATACACGCGTTACAATTTCTATATTATGCGCAATCCATTGGAATGATGATCCTTGGTTAACTACAGGTCGATTTTTTATTTTTTTTATAGGTAATCCCTTGCAATAGATATATGTCGCTTAGGGTGTGCCAAAAAACCTCGATATTTTTTTTTTCTTGCTCTCAACCCAAAATATCGTAGAATATGTCCGAACAAATATTCTGTTAAAAGCGGAGCTCATAATTTCAATTTTAAGAGGTCCTCCATCGAATCTGAAGTTTTGCCGCTTAAATAACACAGAAAACTGACTTTTTTACCTTATTTATTCTTGCAACCTAGGAAGAAAAAATCTTATTAAGCCGAATTTCTATTTTCATTATTTGATTTTTTACAGAGCTTTAAATTTAAAATTTTACGTTTTTTGCCTTTTTCAGCTAAACTATTTAAGTTAGACGAAAAAGTCAAATGGCAATTTTTTAGCTTGTCTGATGGACCACAAAAAAGTTTTAGGCGAATTTTTTGTATCGTCAATATTCTTAAAGTTACAGGCGTATAAAGTCATCATTTTCGTATTATTAACTTTAAATTTAAAGCTCTGTAAAAAATCAAATATTGAAAATAGAAATTCAGCTTAATAAGATTTTTTTGTCCAAATTTAATGCTTTGTAAGAATTAGTCATGGATTTTATGAAAAAAAAATTTCTTCCTAGGTTGCAAGAATAAATAAGGTAAAAAAGTCAGTTTTCTGTGTTATTTAAGCGGCAAAACTTCAGATTCGATGGAGGACCTCTTAAAATTGAAATTATGAGCTCCGCTTTTAACAGAATATTTGTTCGGACATATTCTACGATATTTTGGGTTGAGAGCAAGAAAAAAAAAATATCGAGGTTTTTTGGCACACCCTAATGTCGCTGCTAACACGTGTACAATAAAAATAAAATATAATAGTACATTCATTTTATACTGAAAAAACACTGTGAGACAAAGTAACCCGCAACCAGGGGGTAACTTTGCACACCCACTTTTTAATGTTTATTTTTGAAACTCAGCCCTATGTAATATTATAACATAGTTATTATGAAAGAGCAACTCAAGACTCAAATTTTGGTATACAAAATTTAATGTTTATGATTGTTAAAACCACAAAAATTTTAAGCTGAAGTTTGAAAGTGAGCCAAAGCCACCCGTGTTTACGGTACCTATAATTAATAAAAAATGTACCTCCAGACAGGATTCACTATTAAACATAAAGAGTTTAAAGTGAGTTTTAATAGAGATTATTTATTATTCAATAATATATCCCCAACAAAAAAAGCAAATATTACTATAGATAAGTTGATTATTTGAGAGCGGAAGGGGAAATTAATAAATAATTAATTCTTACCGTCCGCCTCCGCGGCCTCCACCGCCGAACCCTCCTCCTCCGCCGCCGCCTCTTCCGCGACCGCCTCCAAATCCTCCGCGGCCTCCTCTGTCTCCACCTCTGAATCCGCCACCGCCGCCTCCGCGGCGATCCCTACTGCCTCCGTCGCGATCCCGGCCTCCGCCGCCGCCTCGTCTATCGTCTCCGCCGCCGCCTCCTGCACCTTCAGGTTTGTCTTCATTGCAACGGTTACACTGGTTGCGCCAAGCAAAGTTGGTGTTGCTGCAATCCGGGTTCGGACACTTCCAGTCGCCGTCACGAGCTTCGCGGTCTCTGCCGCCGCCTCCGCCGCCACCTTAAACATCATTCATAGAAAAGTTTGCTTTTGACATTGCTACTGCATTCGCTGATGAGCTAACTAATGGGGTAGTTAAATTTTTTCTGACCTATACTTTTTATGCTTTTATTCAAGGCGTTTTGTATTTTTAAACATCTTTGTGAAATCGGAATTTCAATTGAGTTTACCGTTTTCGAGATATTTACAAAAAAAAGTCTCCTAATTACGTCACTAGGCTATTGACAACGTTGCCAGCTTTTTCTATGGTGTTTAGTTTAAGATTCTTACGATAGATGGCGCCACGTTATAATATTTTAGTTTTAAAACTACTTGATCTAAAATTTTAGTTGAGAGGAAGAAGAATTGATTTTTTGACGTTTCTTTTTTTCGGGTTATGTTTTTTTTTAATTTAGATTATTGAAAATCAATGTTATTGTTATGTTATTTGTAATTGATATTAGATAAGTGATTTATTAATAACGGACTCCAAAGCAGATGAATCTTGTGGAATGGTTGGTTACATTGAACATTGGAGCTTTTAAACAAATAAAGTAAGTACCTACCTATAATTATAATCATATTTTGTCGTAAATGCATTTCATTAGTATAATGCCTAGTTCTTTATATTCTTTTAGATATATCTTGGACTCAAACAGTAATATGATACCTCGTAATAAGGTCCTTATTATAAGGAAGATAGGTACTTAATGAATTTGGTGACCATCTGTTTCTCTACACAGAAGATATATTTATTGTACTGGTTGTAAGGTTTTGATGCTCATCATCAGGGATGCAAGTTTTATAAAAACTATACACAAATATCATAAATACCATTGTTAACTTACATTTACTGTTATTTTTTGTAAATTTATTTCATTCATTTTCAGCTTTATTTTGCCACTTTTTTCTATGAAATATATTAAACTCTGCTTTAGACAGTTATTAGGTACCTATTTATTACATTTTATTAGGTTTCACACGGTGTTTCAATGTGTAAACCTATCAATAAAACTTTTAATTTCAGAATTTTCTTTAACCTCCTCTTCTTCTTCTTTCACTCAACTGACAGTGACAGTATTTGTACATAACCTCTTCGGGTATTTTCTGACATAACCGAATGAAATCATTAACAAGACAACTTGACAACAGGGTAATTTTCAACCAATAGAAATCTTAGAATGTTGGTCACATGGCGAGGTTTGTGACGTCATAAAAATGTATATTTTTTGTAAATATCTCGAAAACGGTAAACTCAATTGAAATTCTGATTTCACAGAAATGTTTAATATTACAAAACGCCTTGAATAAAACCATAAAAAGTATAGGTCAGAAAAAATTGAACTACCCCATTGCCTGTATACAGGCAATTAGTTAGCTCACTGACTATAGTCAGTTTAAATTGTAATTTATGTTGAGTATTAAAGTGTATTAATATTTTCTGTGAGTACATACAATTCCAAAATTTAATATCTACAACCCTATGTTCATATGAGTTCTTAACGCTTATGTGCTCATATAAGCGCATAGTGTAAGATCTAAAAGCAAAAGCCTAATTTGAGCATGGGAAGAATGTGGGCGCACAGGTATAATTTAGGTTACAATTATTTTATCACATGGACTTTCACATCTATGGAAACAGAATAAAATTTCACAAATTGTTAGTTCTTCATACCAAATTTCCCCAGTTATAAAATTTTTGAGAAAAAAAGACATTTTCAGGGAGTCATTTCTCGCACTATTTTCTATAGAATTTTTTTATTATTTTGAGTTCTACACCCTGTATATAATTTTGTATAACTGGACAGCGTTTATCGAAAAGGAAAGAAGCGCCAACAACTTTTTCTAAGGTAAACAAAATTATTTGCAAAATAATAATAATAACATTTCAAGCGGATGGACGGGACAAATCACAAAACTGTTTTTATAAAAAAAATTGTAGCTAATTTATTATATATTATTTTTGCATCAACATTGTCAAATAAATTCTTCTATTATTAGGGTATACATTAAATAAAAAAAATCGCAAGAAATATTTTATAAAAGTAGAGATAATTTCAATAATTGACAGGGATGGACGGGACAAGATAAATCTTTTTTTTGTCCCGTCCACACCTTTCAATTATTAAAATTATATCTACTTTCATAAAATATTCCTTGAGTTTTTTTTAATTTAATGTATAACCTAATAAAAGAAGAATATTTTTGACAATTTTGATGCCAAAATATTATATAATAAATAATCTACAATTTTTTTTATAAAAACAGTTTTGTAATTCGTGCGTTTCGCGCGCTTGAAATGGCCGTGCAGCTTAAAAAATTAATGATTTGGAAACCATCTCAATCATTTTGAGAAAAGTTCCAAATGATGAACTCTTGAGCGTTATTAAAAATGAGTTATTTTACAAAACACCCCATATCTCCAAAATAAAGCATTTGCGGGAGACCAAAGTTATATGAATTTTTTCCTGAAAATCATTTAGGGACTGAGCCCATTCAGTATCAGCCAACAATTAAGAAACATCCTGTACAAATCACTTATGCATAAGAAAATTGACATAGTTTTTCAGAATGTTTTTTTAGTAGTCACTTTAAAGAATTCTTGTGCATGAACGATATACGGTTGTTCAATACCCGCGTGAACATAACAAGGATAGAACGCCAAACAGAAGGCGCTAACAATACGCACGCCTGCCGGCTCTGACCAATCAAATTCTGTTTGGCGTTCTATCCTTGTTCTTTTCACGCAGGTATTGAACAACCGTCCTTCCCAACCCGGTCGGACTTGGATTTGCAAGCACTGTATGTATATGTATGTACAGGGTGTTTCTTAATTGTTGGCTGATACTGAATGGGCTCAGACCATAAATGATTTTCAGGAAAAAAATCATAGCTTACTTCTTGCACTATGTTCATATGTACATATCGCTAATGCATAAGAAAAGTGACACAACTCAAAACCATAGTTTTTCAGAATGGTTTTTTTAGTTGTCACTTTCTTGGTCATGAACGATATATATGTATGTACAGGGTGTTTCTTAATTGTTGGCTGATACTGAATGGACTCAGTCCATAAATGATTTTCAGGAAAAAATTCATCATAGCATACTTCTTGCACTATGTTCATATAACATGACAACCTTTTGTTATATTATTTTTCAAAGCTTTTAAATACTTCTACTTTTGTTGTATTATTACAATATTTATAGGCTTACAGGTTAATCAGAACATTATGTAAAGTGTAATATTAAAATGTTTCTTTAGACAGGATCCACAAATTGCCAATAAAAATTAAGGAAAATGTGGGTTTTAATAAAGATTAATTGTTTGATCTTCCCCACAACATACAGGCCAATAACCTATTTAAAAAGAGTTATCAGAGAGCGGAAGGGGGACCGGAATACAATCAAGTGTCGTTCTTACCTCCGTCGCGTCCGCGTCCGCCGCCGAATCCGCCTCCTCCTCCTCCGCGACCGCGGCCTCCGCCGCCGAAACCTCCGCGGCCTCCGCCGCCGCTTCCTCTATCTCCAGCGCCTCCGCCGCCGCCACCTCCACCGCCTCCACCACCGCTCCAGTTGTCTTTTTTGGTGGCCAGTTGCACTTTGATGGTGTTGCCTCGAAATTCTTTGCCGTCGAACCAGGAGATGGCGGATTGGGCTGCGTTTGCATCGTCGTACGTCACAGTCGCCTCGCCCTTCGATTCTCCAGTCGCTTTGTCCTTGTACAACCAGATTTTTCTTTTCTGCGTCCTCTTGTCCATCTATTTGTTTAATTAACATTATTTTATGTAAATACCTACTAACTACATACTAACAACAAATGTGGAGCATTTAATTAAACAAAATTATGGCAATTATTGGCGATTTTGAATTTGCGATATTGCAATCTTGGTACGCTTTAAGTCACATTATATACATATTGTGCAATTTAATTAAGTAAAGTAAAGAACTCATCAAAACGTACTTTAAATCAGACGCATAAAAAAAGTCCTTTACTACTAGTGGCAGCGATATTTTGTAGGGCCTTAGAGTTAAAAAATTAAATAATACGTTTAATTTTACTGTAAACTAAGGTCATAAAATAATTCCCGTTCCAATTCCATTGGTAAATAGTAAAAAATCAAAAAAACCGCCTCCGCCAACAGCTAAACAGCGGGCGACCCCATCGGGATGTCACACTGTGAACCAGGATTTTGTAAAACATTGAAAAATATCAAACTCAACAAATGTATGAAATTTTTTAATGTAATTATCAAAAACAAAGAAAAATAAGTTAATTTCACTTATAAACAGCTGCCAAGACAACGAAAGATTGTTAGACCAGAGTAAAATTTAACAATATTTTGCTATTTTGCAAACTTTACCCACCAGAGCGAAATTGTAAAACTTATTGAAGATCTTGTGTTTTGTAATAGAAACATAGGATGTCAAAATGGAAATAATATCACAAATAGAACTTTAAGAGCTTAAATATCTCTATATATTATTTATTTTTCAACAGTTTTTGAAAAATAATATAGATTTTCATAGACATCTTATGGCTGCAAAAAATCGAAACAAAGCCGAAGGTATAAGATTGAAAAAGCTGAGCTATGCAAAAAAATTATTTAAAATGCTATATTTTAAATTTAAAAAAATAGAAACAAAGCCAAAGGTATAAGATTAAAAAAGCTGGGTTATGCAAAAAAATATTTAAAATACTATATTTTAAATTTAAGTCTTTAATAACAACTATAGAACTGCAATAACAAAAAATAATCATTTAAGTAAACAACCAGGAGAAAATATAGCTTTAGTTGCCCAACTTTCTTAGTCGGAATCACTTGTATTGCTGTCAAAACAACCAGCTTGCTGCAATAATTTCAGTGCCTCTGGGCAAAATTAATAAATATATCTTTTATTTTTATTAAAATATTCTTTAATAGTTAATATAATAATATAGTAATATATATATATATGTGACCCATTTGTTTGCGACTCACCCCTGTAAAATCTTTATTTATTGTGCGATTTTTTTTATATTAAAAAAAACTTAACTATTCTTGTTTTCAGGGTATTTTAAAATTACTCTGCCAATTTATAGGCACCACAGCTCAAACAATTAAACAAAAAATAAATAAAAAAATCCATTAAAACCACTAAAATTGCCTTAAATATAACATTTCGAAAAAAACAACGTCAAAACTTTCAAAATGACAGATCACATATTCAAAAAGTCTTTTACAATCTAGGCCTAATAACCTTTCAACTAATACCCAAATAGAGCTTTATTTTGAATCAAATTGTGAAAGACCACACAGAAAATCTTGCGTTTTCTCCTGGATTAAGCGATTTGTCAAACCCGCGTTGTCAACATAAAAACTCACAGACATATTTCTGGTGTTTTTGTAAGCTTAATGGCTTACTTGACCGTTTTTAGCATAAAAAACTTAGTGTTTCATCATTATTAAAAATTGACTTCTTCATGTTTAGGGAATTTCTGGCCCACAGTGTGTCAGTTAGTTTTAGAGAATTATTAAGTGGAATTTTCATTATTACTGGCTGTAGCCTTTGTAACTGTATGCAAAAAAATCACGTCGATCCGATGCTGCCTGACGGGTAAACAAACACAGACACACAAAAACACTTTTACAAATATATATATTTTAGGATTGTTTATAATAATCCAAATAAAATAACATTCCTTTTACTGTAAGAGATTATTATTTAAATACTAATCTACAAACATGTATTATGTACTCAGTGATGTAACCGATACATTTTTTTCAGTATCTAGGTACAGATACAGATACTCTCTGGTAGATGTATCTGGGTACAGATACCAATACATTTTCTCAAAAGTATCTGGGTACAGATACAGATACATTCAAAAAGTATCTAAGTTACTTCCAGATACTATGTTAAAAAAACTTAAAAATTAAATGACAAAAAAAAATTTTTTGGACCTTATAAACAAGCGTGTTAACTATAAAATAAAACTGTTTTGATAAAATTGACGAAATATCCATGAAAAACGGAAATAAATTTTATATTTACGCGCCATATGAAAGCTTACTACAAAATTTGTAGTACAAATTCAAAATTATCAGAACAAAGAAAAATGCCTTCAAAGCCAACTATAAGTAACCTACAGCGCTTTTGTTTAACTTTACTCACTAGTGCCTAAGAGTTACTTTATGCACTTCGCACTCCAACGTGGGTTGAAGGGAAAAAGAAATAAAATATCTTTTTATTATTTGTATTGTTCATCTCTTACGGGAGATATCAAGAATATCCAATGTAGGTATATATCCTGGATATCCATAGAGTATATCCATTGGATGTTCATTTTCCGTGTGCCCAAACGGTGTGGAGTTGCAATCAGGTTGGGTAAAATAAAATGTATCTTGTATCTAAGGATCTAGATACTTTCAAAAGGATCTAGATACTAAAGTAGATCCTGATTTTTTTAAGTATCTCGATACGTATCTAGGTACATAAAATGTATCTAGATCCAGTATCTAGATACATGTATCTCGATACATTACATCACTGTATGTACTATGCTCCACACATCCAAGTCCCACAACGTGACTTTAATAGAAATAATTAAGGTCAATTTTCTGTCAGTGAAAAATGCAATATATGAATTTTTCTACTCCTATTGCATATTATTGACATTATTTGGGTTTTTTTCGTAAATAATGGTAACCAATATAACTGCCCTGCCAACGGGAATAATGAACTCAACATTCACGTTGTTAGGCATCAGTGATTGGCTTATTTCAATATTCACTGTTATTTAAACTAATCAGGTTTTAAATTGGAAAAAACTAAGGTTAACAGATGTCAGATTTTTTATATATATACGAGGGGCGGCTATAATGATCTTTAAAATCGGGAGAAAGTAAGGTTATAATACGTTTTGTTGTTAATGAAAATATCTAATTGAAGTAGAAAAAGCATAGTATTACACTCGAAATAATGCGCATTATTCACTCGGATGATTTACGTCTCTCGTCTGACGGCTCGATACGCAAAACTTCATATTTGTAAATAATAGCCTGCCTGCATTATCTCTCGTATAATAATATACTATTTTTTTCTGTATAAAGGTCTTAATTTAACCTTAATTATTTTTTATCAAATCATGTGGTGAGACTTTGTTGTGTAGTACATAAATACTTATTTTTGTTACAGAATGAAAAACTTGCTGACCATATTGCTGGATAATGCAAGGAATAGACTCTGTATTTACTTTGGCGAAAGATCAAAATTGAACTTGAAAATAAACAATTTCAAGCACAGAGTGCAATTCGCTATTATTACTCAATTAATCAATCAATCAAATCTTACCTTGATGATGCCAATGGCGCCAAAGTGTTGCTCAATGTCATCTTCAGTCAATTCAGTGTTCATTCCAGATACAAAAACTGTATCGGCTTGGATAACAAGATTACCGCTATCTCCTGTAAATTATTCAAAAGATTAATATGTTGAAATTTTAAATGAATAATGTATGTATGGTAAAAACAACTCAAAATTAAACCAGCGCATTATCCTATTCACTATAAGGTATAGGTATATCTGTCCAAGATATCAAAACGTATTTCATATATTTATATATTGGTTTATAAACCAATAAATTACCAAAACCTTGTATCAAGTTTCATTTATTTTTAACCCTTTAAGGACCAAGGGGCATATACGTCCCAAAAATATATTTTACGCACACAAGCAATAACCACTTTGTCAATTATAAATTCTTAAACGCACCTTTTTAAAGTTTTTGGAAGGAATATTTTTTGTGCAGATATGTAAACCATAAAGACTCATTCAGAACCTCGTAATTAGTGGAATAAATTAGTGGTTTCAATTAACGTAAAAGTTTGTCTTATGAATATTCACAACCAAAAAATTGGTGGTAGTTCTTTTCAATTAGTGGAAAAAGTTTTCGAACTTCAAACTTTTACCACTAATTATGATTTGAAAGCGCCTTTGCGCATGTGCGCGGACATTTTATGTCAAATGTAAAAAGTTTGAAGATTTGTCAGTGAAGGTTAAGGTTATATAAATATTGTTTGTCAGGTTAAGAAGAAATGACAATCTTTTAGCAAATTCCCTTAATTTTAGATGTTAATTTTGTGCATTGTGAATGATTGTTTTGTGTTAATTATAAGTATAATTGAAACCACTAATTTATTCCACTAATTACAAGGTTCTGAATCAGGCTTAAGGCTATATCGCCATTGGTTCAGCAAAATTCTAAATTATATGTTGTGTATTTCACACAGCTACAAGCTGAACTAAAATCCCAATGTTTTGGTTTAATATACATTCCTAATAACCAATGACTTGACTGTTTTAAATAAAATAATTTGGATAATCCAACCTATTGTATTTAAATCCAACTTGGTTTTTTGTTTAACTAGAAAGAAACAAGTTTTTTTTTGTTCTCCGCAAAAATTATTAATTATAATTTTGCAGTTATTGCTGATCCACCGACGATATAATATTCATAATTACGTAAAATAATTCGCAGGTAGGAAACAATTTTTTTTCAAGAGATCGATTTAAAACCCAGTAATTTACCTTGAATTATTACACAATTTATTTAATTTTAGAACGTATTACCAACAAATTTGAACCCAAAAATTAAAAAAAAAACTTCTTAATTGGGTTGACAATATTTTTATTTAACGCCAAATTTACCTAAAATGCAATCAGTTCTAAAAACCTGATGGTCCTAAAAGGGTTAAAACCATTAATAATGTTTTTTTAACCATAATCACAAAATCTACTGAGTGGTAGAATTATCTTTCAGTCGCAATCCTTTAATTGGATTTTTATATCCAATTTTGAAAAAAATATTGTTTTTAACATAGGTACCCTATTTATTTATTTTATCTCCAATAAATTGCCACATAAATTATTTAAAATTAATGCTTTTTAGCAATACCTTTTTACTTATTACAATATAAAAAAATACAATTTTAAAACAGCAATTAAATATTAAATTACTATAGTTTCAAAGTTAATTTAACATATATTTTCAGTTAATTGTTCTCACCCACTCCAACCATATGTATTTAATATTAAATTTACGCAGATTAGCATGACATGTTTAGGCAAATTCTATTTCAAATTATAAAAGTGTCAAGTGGAAGTTCTACCCTTTTGTTTATTAAATAAACTAAAGGACTATCAATTCCCTATTTTAATCTTCGACATAGTAGGAGGTTGCATACCATCAAGAAAAATATACATCTATGCCTATGTCGCAAATTTCACTTTTAGTAATACCAAACAACAATTAAGTATTTTAAAACTTTGAATTTAAGCCGATTTTAATTTAAATTTCCGATTTAACATTATTTGGAGCATTTTAAATCTTGCTTATAAAATTATCCATTTCAAACAAGTTTCATACAAGTAACTTTTAAAAAATTACATCAAAAACACCATTTATCATCCTACGTTCGAAAAAGACAAATTGAAATAAAAGAGCTGACACATTTGATTATTTATTTCATAAAATTGAACCGAAACTAAAATATATCTAAATAAACAATATATGACGTAAATAATCAAATATAAATTTTATTGCATTAATTGAAAAAAATGTAAGCCAAATCTAAGATATTATAATTTCTAAACAAAGTAAAGAAGCAGCTCGTTCAAACAATTGTAATTAAAAATACCAATAATAAAGTAATAAGTGTAGAAAAATGCACCCAAGCTGATCAAGCTCGGTGCTTTTACCTTTGTTAAAACCACCCCTGTTGCCGCCTCTAAAACAGAAGTAAATTCATCAGTTCGGTTGTTCAGTTCAATATGAAGAAGGGGGGAGAATCGCCAAGCGCGCCAAACCTTAGCGTTGGCGCACACACTCAACACTCAATGTTTGTTCAAATGTCAAAAATTCAGTCTCTTCTCTAACTGCAATTAAAACTGGAGAGTCTCCTATGTGGATCCAGTCATGTCATCAGTCAATTCTTTTGTCAGTTTTGTTCGTTTGTCATTGTTAAAAACCCTTTACCCTTATTTTTAGTTACTACCTTGTTACTAAAAATATCAATTTACCTCGAAAAATACCTGCTGTATAAGTAACCTTCAGTGGCGGCTCGTAGTTATTTGTATAGGGGGGTCATAATGAAACGCGCCGCAGGCTAACACTTAGCCGCTAAGTTGTTGAAACTGAAACTGTTTTACACATGTTTTATATTTACATTTGCAACATAATTTATAACACGATTATTATAATTAACAATACTGTTTATAAACGGTTTTATTATGCATAACATGGCCAAAGCAAGACAGTTTTTCTTGTCCAATAGTATAACGTAAAATATATTTTTCTGTTTGTATACCATAATAACCACAGTTGATACGCATTTGCGTTTTGTACTGTCTCCATAGCAAGAGTAGGTAATATACGCAAATATAATTTATAATTTAAATTTTTCCTCGTGCGAAAAAATTACGTCTAATGACATTAGTTCTTTAATATACCTACTATTATTCTAAACATTCAATTTTCTTAGTTTCTTTAAGAAACTTTCTTGACCCATCACTGGTAATATTCATAAGAATATAAGAAAAAATTGAACCTACACCTCGCACTATTATTCTCTTTAATGTAGAAAAACATCGCTTGCTTTCTGTGCACAGTCTGTGTACGTTACCGATGACAACTATAGAACCTAGTATGATCACAATTTGATAGTTTCCAAAAAAGTTGCATTAAGATTATTAGAATCTAATAAATAAATTATTCGTGTAGAATTTTTGTCTTCGTTATAAAATAATTGAGCGATTATTATAGTAACTACATTAAAATGGCAATTAAAACTAAAACGGTGTTAAATTTTAAATTTAACATAATTATAGATATATGCTTATTTATTATGTATTATACACATTATGTAACAAATATTAAATCCAAATATATACCTATAGGTATGTATACATACAGCTTCAATAAAAATAGAATAAAGTGTTGCGCGACCTACGTCCAACCTGCCATCTCTGTAAAAATTACGTTAAAAATAATATCGGTAAATTATTAGTAGGTAAACGTATAGTAAATTTTAATTTAAAAAGAATAGTTTATTCTTATTGTTTTATTGGGACTTCATTGACCCAATGACCTAAGGGAGAAGCCGCCACTGATAACCTTAACACCTAAACGTTTACGTCGTAAACCCAAATAATAAACTTAAATTTGTACCTGGTTTACTTTTTTCTAGTACAAATGAATACCTGATAACCTTTTATAGTAGGTAGGTATTACTTATAAACACACAGTGGTTCCTAGTAACTTAATTCTAATAGCCCGTAATTAACCTTAGTGTAGTTGTAAAAATATTGAAATTAAAACTACCTTCCTACACTGTTGTCTCACCCCTGGTGTACCCCAAATACATAATTAATAATTTAGGTAATGTCAAGTCAAAAAGAGAACAAATACACATCTTTTCTGAAAATTGAACCATTTGCATTAAAGTTGTACATGTAACAGTGTAACACTCAGTGATATGTTTAATAAAATACACAATCCTTGGAAGCCAATGGTGCAACATTTTTTTATTAAACCTATGAGCAGATCCAATGCCACAATTTTATTGATACCCTTTTACTTTACTACCACAAATACAGTACTTATATTAAGACATAATTTTAAGTAAACCCAAAATTATGGCTCTACCCAAAATGGCCGCCAACTGTATTTCGCATAGAATGTGACTCTATACGAAAAAATTAACCTAGTGTCTAAAATCAGGTTTTACAGGAGAAGCGATTGAAGTTCACGCGGCATAGGCGTTTGTTTAGTAAGTTATTACTAGTAACGCTGACTTCAAAAACTATTAGCAATGTCAATTTATTGAATTATATAATTATATAATATATATATATATATAAATATTTTATATAAATATATATTATATAATATATATAATTATATTTTATCTAGAACTTTTGAAAGATCGTTTACCACACTTAAAATAATGATAATCTCAAAAACCAGTTTTTGGACACAAGGTCCCTTTTCTCGGATCGCTTCACACTTATTGGTGGTTTATGTACTTAACATACAACGCTTAATATTTCATAAAAACGAAGAATTTTTGTTTTTAGAGGATTGTATCGCAAATTTCATCTAAAAAGTTGCCCAACAGTATAGTTCCATAAAATAAATACTGTATTTTCTATGATAAGAATTTGTGGCAAAAATACAGGACTACCAGATTTAAAAAAACATAAATAAACACATCTTTATGATTTAAATAAAGAAATTATAATTTTCCAGCTAACTGTAGACATCATATATTTACACATCCATGTCCATGTCAATGCAGCATGCTGCATGCCAAGTAAAGTAAAGAAAACCTGACTTGAGTCCAGGGATGCCGTTTTAGTACATTTTATTTTAATATTTGGGCAAAATTTATAATTTTTAACGTTTATTTATGTTTTATTTAATAAAGCAATTAATTAAAAATGTCTTATATATCCATGTTAATTAGGGTGGTCCATCATTTGAGAATTTTTGAATTTTTTTGCTCTCAGGGGCTCATAGTGTTCGAAATAAATTTAAAAAAATATTCTCCAAGTTTCAAGTCCTTATCTCAGTATTAACCAATATAAATAACAAAGGGTTTTAGGGATTAAATAATTAATTATTTATTTCGGCCAAAGTAACAGTTCAAAAAATTTGAAACTTGTCAGAATTTAACCTAATAATAGTAGCTATTCCTGAAAGTTTTTACAGATTTTTAGCTATTATAATTTTAGAGTTTCAACTAGATGATTTATTTAAATTTAAGAAAATCATTTAGCTGTACATAATTATTATAATAGCTGAACATCTGAAAAAATTCTATAAAAAGCTACTATTATAAGGATAAATTCTGTCGTTTCAATTTTTTTTAAACAACCATTGTGACCAGATTAAAAAATTAATTATTCAAAACCCACATTATCCAGATAGGAAACTTACATTGCATTGGACTTGAAACTTAGAGAACATATTTTTTATTTATTTCAAACCCTATAAAGCCTGTGGGAGTATAAAAATTTTTTTTTTTAAGGAGTCACATTTTTAAATTAGGAAATTTTAATCTTCCACCCATATTTTAAGATGGCAACGTTTATATGAATATTTAATAATTTATTATAATCTTTAATGTGTGAAAAAATATGGCAATATAATCTCACGGCATAGAAAAAAATTGAAACTTGACCTTATACTAGTAGCTTTTTATACAATTTTTACAGATTTTCAGCTATTATAATAATTATGTTCAGTTAAATGATTTTCTTAAATTTAAAAAATTATCTAGTTAAACCTCTAAAATAATAATACATAAAAATCTGTAATTCTTAGAAATACCTACTATTACAAGGTTAAATTCTGACAAGTTTCCAATTTTTTGAACAGTTACTTTGGCCAGAATAAATAATTAATTATTCAATGCCAAAAACCCTGTTATTTATATATTAAACTTACACTGCAACGCGTCACGGGTTAAGCTTAATTTTCATGTATCCGTTTGTCCGTCAGTCCGTTCATCCGGGAGCGCTCTTATTGGTCCAATTATAATTCGAAAATTATGACATTTTATCGGTCCGTCAAGTTTCAACTTCATACGTCTGCCAGAGAAAGGTTAAATAATTTTAACTCATCCGTCACTACACATCTGTTTTTGACGCCTAACGTTATTTTAATTTATTTTCAAATATTTATATATATTTTCAATAAGATTGTAAAACTATTACGTTCGTTATGTGAATGTTTTACTGTTAAGTTTTTATTTAATAAGAATAACGGAAAAAAAGAAAGGACAAACAAAAAAAATTAAAACTAACTAAAAGGACCTGCTTTTTTAAAACTATACATTTTAATGTATATTAGGGCTAGTATATTCTTTTTATAAGGTATATTTACCTACCTTTAAATTTATTAGACAGCTAACTGTTAAAGTTACAATTGTTGACATAATTGTAACTATGACAATTAAGCATTAGGTAAATTTAGTAAGTGAATATACTGACACTTAATTTCTATTTGTCGCAAAATCAATCCGTTAAACGTCATTAAAAAACGTATGCATGAAAATTAGAACATTTCTTATCGGACGATTTTATTGAAAAACTGACATACGGATGACGGACAAACGGATACATGAAAATTAAGCTTTAATATCGAGATAGGGACTTGAAAGTTGAAAAAATTTTTTTTTAATTATTTTGAACACTATGAGCGCCTGAGAGCAAAAAAATTCTAAAATATTCAAAATATGGACCACCCTAAAGTAAAGCATATTAGAGCTCACAATATATGGATATGTTATAAAGTCGGTGTTTTGGTATACCCAGTGATACATTCAATGTCATTTATGTTTCAAGGGTATACCCTAAATGTAGATTTGTATGCCCTGAGAGCGACGATCTTATGAACCTGTAGCCCGAGGGCATACGCATCTGTTGATACCCACTATGCTTACAAACCTAGGTATAAACATCTACTAAATACCCTTGGTACATAAATAACTATTTTGTCCTGCTAGTTCATTATTGCATCCACAATATAAATATTTTAAAAAATCTTAAAATTTAATTTGATTTTAGGTTATTACTACATTACTAAATTATTATATAGTTTGTAGCTAAGCAATAAAAACATGATAATGAACTAATTTGACATAAAAAAATTAACCATTTTTGGGACAAAAATACCTTTACTGCACAACTGTGGGTCCATTCAACAAAACCAAAGAATTGAGCCATCTTAAATACTTTTCTAATTAATATGGATCTGCTCTAGATTTAAATTAGGTACCAAGATAAAGATTGACCAATTAAAAAAAAAACTGAATAAAAAGAAACTTGAAACTCACCCATAACTGTCTCTGCGATCTAAATCCCTGGATTTGTAATCATTACCGCCTCCACGATCGCGGCCGCCACCTGTAAAACAACAATTTAATCATCTCTTAAAAACAACCAATAGAGAAATCGTCTTACCTCCGTAGCCGCCACCGCCCCCCGATCCGTAGCTATTACCGCCCCCATTTCCGTAACTACCGCCCCCCGATGATCCATAGCCACCACCTGAGGCGCCACCGTAGCCGCCTCCGGAAGAGCCATAGCCACCGCCTCCCGAGGAACCGTAACCTCCACCGCCGCCGCCTTGAGAGCCACCATATCCTTTAAAAACAAAGTAAAATTAAATCTTTTTTTGAAAATTTTGGATTTATAAATAGCATTGTGACAGTAAAGAAGCAAATTTCAAAAATCACCTCTTGCTGTAAAATAGGCTTTAATGCAAAAAAAACAGTGGGAATGGTATAATTTTTAAATAACAAAGTAGCAAAGGGGTACTCCCCATACCCCTTTACTACTTTGTTGTTTTGCTTTTATACTTAATGAATAAATAGTAATAGGTACCAACTTGCAAAAACAAAATTTTTTCATTTTATTACACTTGATTTAAAAAACAGCCAATTGTCAACTTTTTTATTTTAATACAAAAGGCACTATATACATATTTATACATCATACACAAGAACGTGAATTAAAGTACTTAAAAAATAGAATTTAAACGCGACATTACGTTGTTGATAGTTGGTTTCTATGGTAACGCTTTTCGCTTTTGACATTGCAGTGTTATTTAAAATCTAAAAATGAGTTGTGAGAACAAATGATGTCCACTACAAAGAAAAAATTATTAAAAAAGTCAACATTATCGTTTATTGCAAAACTGTGAGGTGAAAGTTTACATGGCACTATGGTATAGGTGCATAAGAGGAAAAAAAATATTATTTTTTAATGTAAACTTAAAGAAATGCATGGACTGTATAGGAGATGTATTTAATTAACGCATATCTTATAACATGACAACAAGAAATCTATGATTTTTATTCCTCGTATGTCTTATACTTTTAGAAATGGAATATAAATTTTTGTTAACATCCACTACACAGTTTGGCAATAATAAACAATAACAGCACATGTAGTCTTACCAACTTTAATAATTTTGTACTCTAACTAACTAACTTTGTAAATGTCTCTTAAGTAGACCCCCCCACCAACTAAAATTTTTTCATAGCAACCAATATTGTGCCCGATAAAACCCAATGAATCAATAAACTAAAAGTGAACACACCATTGATTTAACAAATAATAAAAAGTTTTTGGGAGTTCACAGGGTTCCCAGCATTGTTTTGTACTTTTTTATGATTTTATTACAAGTTTTTCAATTCTTTTGACAAAGTTATTTTAATAAAAAATATGTAATTTTTTAACGGTTTATTATAAAAAAAATAATATTTTTTCTCGCATCAAAATAAATTTCTTCTATTATATTTTTAATATATGTTACTTTAGTATCTTACTATAATAGGTAGAGGAGAAGGTGTAAATATGGAATATTTCTCTATTTTTTTTTACCAAATTAATTTTTTTTAAATGCAACAATTAATTTAGCTAAAGATTTTTATTCTTAATTGGTTAAGTTCACTTCTAATACAATTCTGAGTTTGATTTCTCAGTTTTAAAAGCAATTGCAGTCGAAAACAAAATAGTATTTCATGTTTACACCTTCTCCTCTATTATAATCTCAAAATAAATAAAACTATCTCTCAAAATAAATAAAACTACATCTCAAAATCAATAAAGCAACATACTATTTTTTTGGCTTTTTCGAGACCCATGTTAACATTGTTTGAGCCTCCAATATTTCAGATTTTTTAAAAGTAGTAAGGAACGTACCAATACTACGACTCCGCATATAGTATATGCGGAGACCCCCCCCTTCATAAATATGGTTTTTAATCATTTTTTGCACAGAAAGTAAAAAAATTAATTTGGCTCATATTTGTCTTTATTCATATGGCGCTTGCTGCGTGACCTATAATTACAAGTGTCAAAAATATTTAAGAAGAAAAACTTAAAAACTATATTATAGCTCAAAAAAGCGCGAGAGGATATTGACTATGTGACAAAAACCTAAACCCCCCCTCCCCACCTCTGTGATCAAGCGTGGTATTTTGAAGAACCCCCTAAGGTACCTATATAATTTCTTATTTCCTTTAGAAATAAGATTTCTTGCTATCTTACTATTAATTTCTTTAAGTCCTTCTTTGTGTTTGCGCTTTCTGCCTTCCTTTTATAAAGTAACAATTAACTTTACTATTCTCATTATTTATTTCAAATTTTGAAATTTAAAATTCATTTCCTAACCTAGTCTTCTTCTTATCCCTTTATAGTATGAACATTGAGTGAAGAAGTAGGTACCCTTAATCAATGGTATAAAGTTCATACGTCAACAACCAAGGCCGTATTCAAAACATTTTATTGCGTTTTCTTCTACAGGACCAGCTTTAAATTTTATTTTACAAAACTTCCATTTTATAAAATTTGAATTTTATGACATTTTAGGACAATTTAACCAGTTTTACGATATTTAAAAATTTTATGATAAACGGGAACCCCAAGTTCACTGTGATGAAAATTTAAATTGGAATGTAAATGTTAAAATACTTTGTAAAAAATGTTCAATGAAATTGTTGAGATATTGTGCATATACATATGTATATAGGACTATTGAGAGTCCAAATGATCTGTAGGAACACATAAAAAAATAATTAACCATTTTTGGTCTTATTTATGTACAAAAATAAATTTTAATATGTTATTTCAGGAATAATTCAATTACCTGCAATTACCTTTATCAAAGCTTGCCCATACATAAAATAGGCTGTTTTTATGTTAAGCTTAAGAAAATTAACCACTTGCAAAAAATTTTTTGAATATTTTTGTAACTTGAAGCCATACTCCTTTCAGTAATTTTAGGTATAAATTTTTAAAAATAATATATCTTTCCCAGTCAATTTTATCACCTTATAAAAATATTTTAAAACTATTAGGATGTATAGTGGAAGTTCTACCCTCTTGTTTATTTAAAAAAACAAAAGGACTATCAATTCCCTACTTTAATCTTCGACACAGTAGGAGGTTGCATATTATTGAGAATAGAATATACATCCATGCCTGTGTCGCAGCAACCAACGAAAAAATGTTAACATATTTATATTTCATACCTCCAGCAGAGCCGCCGTATCCGCCGCCCCCGGCTCCAGCGCCGCCTCTATTCTGGCCTCCCCAAGCGCCCGCACCAGCGGCGGTATTTGGCGCCTGATAGCCGCCTCCAGTGGCTTGAGCGGGATACGCGTTCGGGTATGCTGTCGATGGCGGCGGTTGCGAGTAATCTCCATAACCACCACCCCCTATACCGCCTCCGTAATCTGCAACAACAATGCACTTAGCTCTAGCTCTAATGGCTGATGGCCTTAATTTTTTTTTCATTTATAGGCTCAGAGCCCGGCGATATTACCAATTCTATAAATATGTCAATATTTTCAAGCGATTTTATAACGAAAAAACTTTAAAACAACGACGATGGTTTGAATAATTTAAGATTTACTTACTATTGTCCCCCATTTTGTTGCACTTTTTCAAAAATATACAACACAAGCGACGCGACGACCAAAAGAAAGCGGCGTCAAAGAGGAAATGACAAAATGGAGTCTGTCTCTTAAATCTATAACTGAACACATGCGCCATCTATGTTTAACGGAAGTGAACAAAAGCGCCAAATTTAAAAATTTATTTTATTTACCCATCTTTAAGTTTTTTCTTGACAGTGTTTTAACCCCTTTACATTTTTCATCATAAAGCTTAATTTTATTAACATTAGATTAAATATATTATATAAAATATTTTAAAATAGGTAATAAAAAATATTAGTTCAATTATACCATTTATATGTCAAATATTTGACGTTTTATCCGAACCTAACTTTTACTGATACAGTGGTTTGTTCTGTGATAAGTGCAATATTACGAAATAAATATTGAAAGTAGTTTATTTCTATGTTAATATGGTTGCTGGTAAGTGCAAATATTTTTTATTTCACAATTTAGTTAATGATATATTTGTTTCAGCAAATAATTCAAGTTCTTATGGGACCTACTCAGGAAACTTTTTCAAGGATTTTCATGGACTACAACAATTAAGTGATCAACATGTACAAACTGTAACAGTGGCAGAGTAATTTAAAATATACCTACTGTTAAAATAACATAAATTGGTATCTAATTTTCTTGTTTTAGATGTAATTTCTGCAATTTGGAAGATGTCTTTAAGAATTCTGAAATTCCTGATGCCTTTCGGTGCTTATTATATCTAAACTATTTAAAGGAGATTATTAAAGGGCAAATATTGGCAAAAGTTAAAGACGATATACCTATTGAGGAAATGGTTTTTACATCTGTTTTGAAAGTTCTTTCTTTTTTTAATGAAAATAATAAACTACCCCAAGAAATTTTCTCCAAAATGTCTGCAAGTGCCTTAGATAAAATAAACAAAGTAAGAGAAGATTTAATGCTATTTTTTTTATAATTTTATGCCAACATTTGGCCTAATAGGTATAACAGTAAATAATAAAACATTTAAGAAATTAAATTGTAGGTTTTGGACTTTTTAAATGATAAAATACCACCAAATTTCTTTAAAAAGAAATCAAAAAGCATGCCTAAGTCAAACAATAATATAAATATTTTAAAACCAAACTTAAATCCATTATTCTTTATACCTTTGAAAGAAACATTCCCTGAGTTGGACAAAATCTTTCAAAAGGATCAAGATAAAAATATCTCACTTTGTTACAACCAACCTCAGGCAACCACAAGTAAAGTCAATAATGCTTTTTGTTTGGAAGAATTATTTGAATGTTATAAAACATTAATACCAGGCTATAACTACAATGAATTTGGACCTATAATTTACAACGAGTTAAGTTCAAGCAAAAGCAATGATGATGTAATGGAATACTTTCTGGAGACATTTGGACTAAAGGCTTTCGATTTTCTTAATGAAATTATAAATAACAGGGGGAAGAAAATCAATTATGGACCCAACCTTGGTAAATATAAACAAAGTACTTAAAGTAACAAAATAATAATAATAAATTATTTTGTTTTTAGTTGTGAAAGCTCCCATGAGAAATGCAAACTTAGGAAGTCAACCCAATGCAACTTTAGCAGGTCAGGTTACAGTACAATCAAAGGAAGAGAGTATTTTGTCAAAGAAATTAAGAAAACTGGAGAAAAAAGATAGATCAAAATACTGTGCCAGTGAAATTCAGGAGTAAGCATTTATAATTTGTTTAAAAAAATACAAAAATTGTTTTGTTTAGAACTGAAGCGGAATATGAAGTAGCAAGAGCAACACCGCTTTTTAAAAAGTCAGCCCCTCAAAAATTAGACCGTGATGAGTACCCACATGTTCATGATCAACTAAGAAACCATATGATAACAAGTACCTATATAACCATTATTATTTTTGGTTTATTATAATTAGTCTAAAAATAATAAACTTTGTAGCAAAATTTGAAGGCCAAACAATCAGTCAACCAGAGAATGCCATAAAAAAAGTAACAATTGAGTATGCAGAGTTCACCATCCCCGGCGGTAAAAAAGGCGACGTAAAGGACATGGAGCTGGTGAAGGTGGACACTTTGGACACTGTGGGTAAATTGGTGTTCAAAGATATTGAGAAATTCAATCGGATTCAGTCGGAAGTGTTTCCGGTCGCCTATCATTCCAACGAGAATATTTTGGTGTGCGCACCGACCGGCGCAGGAAAGACAAATATCGCCCTCTTGACCATCGTCCATCAAGTCAGGTCTCACATGGATGGCAGTTTAATTAAGAAAAATGACTTTAAGGTAAGTGGGTAGTACCCACTGGGTACCTACCAAAAATAATGTGTATGTTTAAAAAATATTGACTAATTTTACTATTTCACCCATACAGATAGTTTATGTTTGCCCTATGAAAGCTCTGGCAACGGAAATGGTTTCAAATTTTAGTAAAAAGTTGGGTCCCATTGGGATAAGTGTAAAGGAGTGCACAGGTGATATGCAATTGACAAAAAAAGAGATATCTGAAACGCAAATGTTGGTCACTACGCCGGAAAAGTGGGATGTTATAACAAGGAAGGGAGCAGGTATTTAATGAAATTATCAAGTAATTGATGAATGAATGATGAACCGTTTGATCAATTTTTAGTGGACACAGAAGTGGTGGGTTTGGTTAAACTGCTAATTATAGACGAGGTCCATTTACTGAATGGCAGCAGAGGTCCAGTGATTGAAACGCTGGTAGCGCGCACTTTGAGACAAGTCGTGAGTTCTCAGAGCATGATTCGAATTGTGGCGCTGTCTGCCACTTTGCCTGGCTACTTGGATGTCGCCAACTTTCTCAAAGTCAACACGCGAAGCGGGTTGTTCTTTTTCGATAACAGATACAGAAGCGTGCCGCTGACCACCACTTTTGTCGGAGTCAAGAAGAAAAACGAGAACGAAGTTATGGACAATGTTTGTTATGACAAAGTTGTGGGCTTTATTAGGGAAGGGCATCAGGTAAAATTTTTTAAATAAATGAATTTTTGAACTATAAAACTGATTTCATGATTTAATAAAAACTCTTTTTAGAGCTATAAAACAAATTTTAACAATAAAATTAAAAAAGTAATTGTAAAGAATTACCTTAAACATTTATTTATTAGGTATCTGAAAAATTCATATTTTTTAAAAAACTACTTTTTGCTTTTTAAAACTTATTTTTGCAATAATAATAATAATAATATTTATTCATCACAGACATAACTACAAAATTTATAAACGCAGGTATAAATAAAATGAAAACATAGGTACATATAAAAAATTTAAAACTATCATTAAAATATCATCCACTCAGTGATCGAGATCGAGACCCATGTATCCAGCGGTTCTCAAACTTTTTTTCCCGCGTACCATTCATGTGCAATGTGGATTAATCGATTACCACCGAACTAAATAAAACAAGTTGTGCTGCGTGTACGTATTTATTGAACTTGTAGTTTAATAAGAAATATTGATAACCGTGAAACAAAACCAATTTTTATAGTATTAAAACAACAATTTGTCAGAACAAAACAAAATACGCATGACTCGTCACGATTTTAAAACGAGCAGGGGATTACCCGTTTAATAATATAAAATGTGGGAAATGATAGATTTTCAATAAAATTGAGCCAACGATAATTTTATGTGAAGGCAAGTACATCTATTATCTTTTCGCGTACCACCTTTGGATGCCTCACGTACCACTTGTGGTACGCGTACCACAGTTTTAGAACCGCTGATCTAGGTACTGGATCTAGATAAATTTTATGTACCTAGACACATATAGAGATACTTAAAAAAATCAGGATCTACTTTAGTATCCTTTTGAAAGTAGCTAGATCCTTAGATACAAGATGCATTTTATTTTACCCAACCTGATTGCAACCCCACACGGAACATGTACATCCAGTGCCCTGCTTAAAATACCACATAGAGACCTAAATATTGATAACCATGAAACAGAACCAATTTTTATAGTATTAAAACAACAATTTGTCAGAACAAAACAAAATACGCATGACTCGTCACGATTTTAAAACGAGCAGGGGATTACCCGTTTAATAATATAAAATGTGGGAAATGATAGATTTTCAATAAAATTAATTTAATTAAGCCAACGATAATTTTATGTGAAGGCAAGTACATCTATTATCTTTTCGCGTACCACCTTTGGATGCCTCACGTACCACTTGTGGTACGCGTACCACAGTTTTAGAACCGCTGATCTAGGTACTGGATCTAGATACATTTTATGTACCTAGACACATATAGAGATACTTAAAAAAATCAGGATCTACTTTAGTATCCTTTTGAAAGTAGCTAGATCCTTGGATACAAGATACATTTTATTTTACCCAACCTGATTGCAACCCCACACGGAACATGTACATCCAGTGCCCTGCTTAAAATACCACATAGAGACCTATACAAAATAATCTATCGGGCGCTACCGGATTCAATATGTGCATTTGTCCATAATTTTTTTCGGATACGACCCGATAGAAAATTTATAGGAAATTACCTATAGGCACACCATAACTTTTACCCTATTGAGACCTATAGCAAATAACTCAATGAAGTATATATAGGAATATCCCTATAGAACAACCATAAAACATTTGACAAAATTTTATTAAAACCTATGGGGTCCTATGGGGAAAAAACTAATTTCTACATGTATGTGTATTTTCCCCATTGAAACCATTAGCAAATAAATCAATGGTGGATATCCCTATAGAACAACCATAAATCCCAACTATGGGTCCTATACATACCGATACACCCTATAGAAACACCATACATTCTGATAGAAATATCTATCGGTTTGAACAGGGTCTCTATGGGTTATTTTAAGTAGGGTGGATATCCATAGATTATATTCATTGGATATCCACCCTGCTATAGGGATACACATAGGATATCCTGGATATCTATTGGACCCTGCTGGATATCCATTGGACATCTATTTTTTAGTTTACATGTTTGTTTCATAAATATCTACGCAATTGCGTTATAAGGTCCAAACAATTTTTTTCTTTGTCATTTAATTTTTAAGTTTTTGTTATAGTCAGTATCTGAAAACAACTTAGATACTTTTTGAATGTATCTGTATCTGTACCCAGACACTTTTAGAAAAATGTATTGGTTCCTGTACCCAGATACATCTGCCAGAGAGTATCTGTGTCTGTACCTAGATACTAAAAAAAATAATCGGTGACATCCCTCCATCCACTGAAAAATAAACTTCATCCAAAAATATGCACTGCAATGTCTTTTTAAATTTTATTGTTTTCGCAACTACCTTATATCGCCAACCTTATTAAAACATTTTTTTCCAAAAATATATGTGATGCTTCTTCTGAGCCTTTGAAAGGGTAAAACTAAATTAGGCGCTCTCGTAAAATCAATGTCACCCTGCTTAAAATACCCCATAGAGACCTATATAAAATAATCTATCGGGCGCTACCGGATTCAATACCTATGTGCATTTGTCCATGTTTTTTTCCGGATACGGCCCGATAGAAAATGTATAGGAAATTACCTATAGGCACACCATAACTTTTACATTTTCCTTATTGATACTGATAGCAGATAACTTAATGGAGGATATATAGGGATTTCCCTTCCCTGCTTAAAATACCCCATAGAGACCCTGTTCAAACCGATAGATATTTGTATCGGAATGCATGGTGTTTCTATAGGGTGTATCGGTATGTATAGGACCCATAGTTGGGATTTATGGTTGTTCTATAGGGATATCCACCCTTGATTTATTTGCTATTGGTTTTAATGGGGAAAATACATATAAATGTAGAAATTAGTTTTCCCCCATAGGACCCCATAGGTTTTAATAATATTTTGTCAAATGTTTTATTGTTGTTTTAATAGAACAGTTCTATAGGGATATCCCTATATATCCTTAGTTATTTGCTATCGGTCTCAATATATAGGGAAAATGTAAAAGTTATGGTGTGCTTATAGGTAATTTTCTATCGGGCCGTATCCGGAAAAAAACAGGGACAAATGCACGTATTGAATCCGGTAGCGCCCGATAGATTATTTTATATAGGTCTCTATGGGGTATTTTAAGCAGGGTATAGAACATGATATGATAAAAGCCTTATTAAAATAGCTTAAACTTCCCCAAAATATGAGTCATAATTATGACATAATTATAGTTTAAACTAAATGTAATAATAGTCTTAAAATTGAAAATGAAACTGAATTTGTGAAAGTGCTTTTTTACTAACATGCTGAAATTATTTTCTTATTTACTTTTTTACTGATCAATGGACTTGCCTTTTAAGTTTTACATTTTTTGGCAAAAATCCTTAGCCAGCTATTTGAATTTCCTAGAATACCGACTATATGGAGATATCTCTAGCTTGCTTATTAATTATTTTTGGTCTATTAAATCCAACGAACGATTTAGATCGTAAAGCAAGCAAACTATGACCTCCCAGATAACATTATGAGGTTCGTAATTAACGCATATTGCAGTCACAACGTGATTGTAATCCGCACGTATGCACGCATATATGCATCATTTGCGTCATCAATTGAGGTTCATATAGCCAGCACATGTGATGGTTGGAGAAACATTGCCAGGTTCATAATTTACGCATATTGCAGTCACAACGTGTTTCTTAATCTGCACGAATGTCACATATATGCATCATTTGCGTCATCAATTGAGGATCATAGTTTAGAGCATCGTTTCTTAACCTCGGGTCGCGACCCAAATTTGGGTCGCGGGCCATATCGAGATGGGTCGCGGGACTTGCGGGATTTGTGTTAGTTGATGCCTAAAAATTTTTTTAACTTACCTACTTTAAATAATTTTTTTATCGGGTTGCGAGCTTCTAATATTTTTGAATTGTGGGTCGCCAGCTAAAAAGGTTAAGAACCGCTGGTTTAGAGAACACAGAGTACTTACACTTACATCAATGTATATTTTGGAGGCCTTAAAGTATGTTCATGTCAACCTAGCACATTTTCCTAAAAATGGGGAACACCATGGTTTTAACAATAGAAACAAAGCCGCTCTAATGATACCACATCACTCCAAAAAATGTACTTAGCAATTTGTTGATTATTGGGGTACAAAATTCTTCAACAAAGTTCCTGAAAGAATAAAGTGTTTAAAAGCAAATGAATTTTTCAAGGCAGTAAAAAGTACTCACAACTGAGGCATTCTATTCTATAGAAGAGTTCATGGACTGGGATATTGTTTGAACTGTGATAATAATTTATATGCGATTTATTCCGGAGATGTTTTTCTATTTCTTTTTTATGTTTTATTCATTGTGCTAGTTTGGTTTTATGTATAAATTTCACCATGTAACTGTAAATGTTTATATATACTGATTGTAATTTGTAACATTGTAAATGTCTTTTTATATATATATAATATATGATAATAATAATAATAAGTTTATAGTCATCAATAATAATACATGACATGTCAAATACAATGGGTATAAAGATATAAAAGTGCTAAGTACAAGAGTAGTATATACTACTCATCATATAGGCATCACGTGATGGTTGAAGACATTTTTCTGGGCATGATTAACAGGTGAATTTTGAACTTGCATTGCCTTATTTTAATTAAAATTAGGTATCTTTTTACAAATTCATAAATAAACTAACTTGTTAACTCTTTGATCTTAAGATCAATCAATAAAATTATTTATACTTTTTATACAAATGTAGTCTTTACAAATCCAGTATTTTCACAAATTAACCATATGGTTTAAGTAAATTTTTTGAAAATTTTAGTTATAATATGAAGAAAAATCAACAATTTTCGCAACATGTAGTGTAAATTTAGTATTACATTTACAATTTTGCGATAACTATTCAGCAAAAGTGAAAAGTTTACAATCATTTCGTGCCCTCATATACCAATCACTTGCGTGTATTCCCATTAATCATAAAATGAATATCATATCGCAACTTTTTTTACCGTCACGCATGATTCCACACGACGTGAAGGCGATGTGCGTTTTGGTGCCCCTCACGGGTGTTGTTTTTCATTTAGTGCTTTTAATATTAAATCTAACATGTCCGCTATAGCAGTATGGGTGGATTTATTTTTATCAAATCGATTATGGAAATTGGACAAAATAATAAATTTGTTCAAAAACAATTCCAAACCTGAATAAAAGATATCTTTATAAGAAAGAATTGAACCTATACCTCGCCAAAGGTTTTGTTTTGAGTGCGTCCCACTAACTTCAAATACCGACAGACAGCTGTTTCGACCTATATTGGGTCTCGTCAGTGTCGGGCAACTTGGTTTAGTGGAACACACCCAAAACAAAGAACTACCACACCGTCTAACGACGTGGCCTTTGTTTTGGGTGTGTTCCACTACACCATATAGGTCGAAACAGCTGTCTGTCGGTATTTGAAGTTGGTGGAACGCACTCAAAACAAAAACTTGGGGAGGTGTAGGATCAATTCTTCCTTATGAATATTACCAGTAATGGGTCAAGAAAGTTTCTTAAAGAAACTAAGAAAATTGAATGTTTAGATATCTTTATACTATCTATTATTTTACATACTGGTCGACAATAAAACTTTAATTTCTAACTGTGAACATCTCAATTTAGGCAATGGTTTTTGTAACATCTAGAAACGCGACCGCAAGTGTTGCTAAAAAGCTAATAGAAACAGCTCAAGTAAAAGGCACCTTGCAATTATTTGAACCCGAAAAATCTGTACAAACTATGAAGTCTGGTTATAAAAGTGGAGATTTGTCATTTTTAATACCACATGGTTATGGAATTCATCATGCTGGTAAGTAAAAACTGTCAATTACCTTAAAACCATAACTATAGTTATAGGTATGTATACATAATATTATTGTCTGCAGGCATGGTTAGATCTGACAGATTAGAAGTGGAAAGACTCTTCCGAATTGGTCAACTAAAAGTAATTGTATGCACAACCACTTTGGCTTGGGGTGTAAACCTGCCAGCACATGCAGTCATTATTAGGGTATAAAAATTGCTTTGGCTTCAACAATAGTTTATAGAAAATTTTATCAATCAATAGGGAACTCAACATTACGACGCGACAAAGTCCACGTTCGTGGACATGGACATGTTGGATGTTCAGCAGATTTTTGGCAGGGCCGGCAGGCCCCAATTCGACACGTCTGGTCACGGTATCATTATCACCTCTATGGCCAATATGTCCAATTATATGGGTCTTATGACGTCGCAAGTTCCAATCGAGAGCCAGTTTTTAAACTGCGTACCAGACAACTTAAATGCTGAGGTATGATTATTGTTATTAAGTTATTACTTGTATACCTACCTACTATTTTTTAACAATTGTTTTTTTGTTTTGTTTTGAGTATCTAATTGTTTGGGCTAAGATTGTTTTAGGGACTGTGTCAAATCTCAGAGAAGCAATGGAGTGGTTATCTAACACATTTTTGTATTGTAGAATAAAGAAAAATCCTCTAGTTTATGGTTTGACTTACAATGAAATATGGGTAAATTCCATTGGAAAATTATATGAATAAATAATATTTATTTTTATTTAGGACTCTCATCAATTCAACCTGTTTCTTCAATCTCAATTAGATAGTGCAGCAAAAACTTTGGAAAAATCACAAATGATAAGATTTGATAACAGTTTAGGCGAGTTTAGGCCGACGAACTTTGGTAGAATCGCGAGTTTTTACTACATTTCTTATAAAACCATGGAATTAATTTACGACAAGTTCCACAGCCACATAAGTGAAGCTGAGCTGTTGCATCTTATTAGCGAGGCATCGGAATTCGCGCAAATTCAAGTACTAAAGCCTAAAACAATCATTTGGTTCAGTTACCTATGTAAATTTATAATTTCAGGTAAGAATGGATGAAATACAAGAACTGGACAGATTAAGGGAATGTAATTTGTATGAATTAAACTTGGACTTTACTTCTGTAGTAGCCAAAGTTATGGTACTGATTCAAGCAAATATTAGTAGGGAAATGATAAGGGTTTCTTCTCTGGCTTCAGATACCATGTTTATTATGCAGGTAATATATACTTTTTTTCTATTGTTGTATAATTTTATATTAAAAAACGCAGGGAATAGTATATTCTGTAACAAGTTTGGAATACGGCATTTTCCGCCTGAGTGAAAAGTTTGTCACACGAGCCGAAGGCGAGTTTGACGGTTTCACGAGAGCGGAATATGCAATTCCAAACGTGTTTCTGACTATACTTTTTCTACCTTTCCAAAAAATACCATTGAAAAATAATTTAAATGGGAAAAAGTGAGGTTGAATCGGTCTAAATTTTGTTAGATATTAAAAACAGAGATATCGCCACCAGTATTTATTCCGTCATCCGATGATAGAATATTTCATTCTGTAACACTTTACGGAATATATGTCATTCCATATATAAAAGTGATTAGAACGGTCATATTCCGTAATAGGAGTAATAAAATAGTATTTTTGCAAATGCATGTATTAAACTACGTGAGAAATATGTATATTATAAGACTGGTGAAAGAAAGAGTAGATTCCTCGAGCGTGTAGTTAACACGCGAGTGGAATCAATAATTATTTATAAATTATTTAACGTATATTGTCAACACCCTATAACTACCCGGACAACAATCGGGATTTCCTGGTGAAGTCATGATATCACAACGTGATTTTTTTATCACGCTGTGATATCCTGTGTGCATACACATGCTTCATCACAGTGATATCATGTAGAACTCACGGTGTGATATTTGCGAATTTTTTCTTGGATTTAAATTAACTTTATATAGTTAATTTAAATCCAAGAAAATATTGAATGGTATAATAATAATTTATTTATAATAATAAATAAATTATTATTATAACATTCAATATTTTCTTGGATTTAAATTAACTATATAAAGTTAATTTAAATGTTAAACTGTTGATTCAATTGTTAACATACTTTTTCTTTCAATGTACAAATGTTTCGCAAAAATGAATATCCAAACACCGATGGCATAAAAAATCATGTCGTGATTTTTTATGCCATCGGTGTTTGGATATTTATTTTTGCGCCACATTCGTACATTGAGAGAAAAAGTATACCTACATATATGGATATTAAATCAACAGTTTTTCTGGTTAAATACATTCAATATTTTTTTGGATATAAATTAATAGTTAATTTAAATCCAAGAAAATATTAAATGTATTTAACCGCAAAAACTGTTAATTCAATTGTTAACATATTTTTTCTTTTAATGTACGAATGTGGCGCAAAAATAAATATCCAAACATGTCGGTGCACCGATGGCATAAAAAATCATGTCGTGATTTATTATGCCCAAACACTAATATTATACCCAGAGAAAAAGTATACCCACATATATATTGAATCAACAGTTTTTGTGGTTAAAATCATTCAATATTTTCTTGGATTTAAATTAACTATATATAGTTAATTTAAATCCAAGAAAATATTAAATATATTTAACCTCAAAAACTGTTGATTCAACATAATTTTTCTCTTAGAAAAAATGATTATCCAAACACCGTTGGCATAAAAAATCATGACATGATTTTTTAGGCCATCGGTCAATCGCAAACAGCGATGGCATAAAAAATCACGACATGATTTTCATTTCTCACGCAGTGACATCCGGATGATGTCCGTATGAATAAAATTTGTGAAAATCACGACGTGACGTTCGTATGATTTTCATTTACCACGCGGTGACTTCCGTATGATATCAGTATGAATAAAATTTGTGAAAATCACGACATGATGTTCGTATGAATATCACGAATGTTGTCCGGGTATAAGTATCTCTGGTTAAAATGTCACATAGAGACCCTGTTCAAACCGATAGATTTTTTTATCGGATTGTATGGCGTTTCTATAGGTGTATCGGTATGAATAGGACCCATACTTGGGATTTATGGTTGTTCTATAGGGATATCCCTATATATCCTTCCTTGAGTTATTTTCTATCGGTCTCAATAGGGGAAATGTAGAAGTTATAGTGTACCTATAGGTAATTTCCTTTAAATTTTATATCGGGCTGTATCCGGAAAAAGCATGGACAAATGCACATATATAGTCCGTTAGCGCCCAAACCCAGATAGCACAAGTACATCTTAAGGACGTCCCTAGGACGTCTAAGTTGGACATCTGGGACGTTCTGAGGATATCGGCAAATGGGACACTTTCGTCTTTCCTCAGTACGTCCCACAGTAGTCATTATGGGACATGATTTGGACGTATTCGGCCGTCCTATGACCATTCCAAGAAATTGATTCCTGGATAGCAGTAGGTCCATAAATTAAACCGAAATTGGACAATGGTTCGACATTTAAGGTACAATTAAAGCAGGCCTTTCACCTTGCGGCTTGAAGCAGCTGAAAGAAGCCTGCTCTAACTATAAATAAACAAGTGGGTGTGAATTTAATTCAACTTTTATTTAAAAAATAAAATAAAGTTAAGTCTTTAAACTAATCCATTATTTTAATAAGAAAACGTGCCTAATCTTCTATGCTAGTCCCACACCACAACAGCAGAGACAACTAGAGATGGGCAGATCGGATCTGAACCGGTTCAGTGAGTCGGATCTTTAAAAAGATTTGACAGACCCAACTCCTTAAATAAAAATTAACGGATCGCGGATCCGGCGAATCTTCATTTTTTGACAGTTGAATTTTGTGGTATTTGGTATTCGCAGATCTGAATCAGAAGTTCTGATTCAGAACGAGTTATGGCCGTTGGCCGACCGAGCGCTAATGTAAATATGATCGATATGGATGTGAACGATCTAGTCGAGACCGATCTCGGCGAGATCTGAGATTATTTATATTTTTCGATTGGATTTGTTCATTTGTAGTGACCCGCAAGTAAGACTACAAAGACAAAGGACTTCTTCGGCACTGAAAATCCTGAAAGGTAACACATGCCATCGACTTTGGCGCTGAAACCCGCTCTCTTAACTACTCCCGCACATTTTGTTTAAATTTAACAATCACAAAAACCACCCAATCAACCCATTGTTGAGGCATGGGTCAGTTCCGGTGGTTACATCTTAGTTAGGTTATTTTATACTAATATTTATTATTAATCCATAATTATTATGGATTGAATTTTTCCATATGTTGGGTTTATAGATTCTATAAGTTAAAATAATAAAAATGTAAAATACAAAATTAAACAAGTGTTTATTCGTAAGTAATATCATAAGGGCATTTAATTTTTCCGAAAAGAATCGAAAAAACACTAAGTAATATTTTAACAAAAAGCATGAGTGCTGGTGGCAACAAAAATCCGAGTCGAAGAGGAGGATTTTTGCACCTGCACGAATGGATTTTGTTAAAAAATATTACTTAGCATTGTGTTTTTTCGATTTTTTTCACAGGAAAAATTAGATGCCCGAATGGTATTTGACAAGACTATTTCATGAGTAACAGTTAACAATTAAAATATAAATTGCAATTTTTGGTGACAACAGCTGTCAAGTTTTGCCGCGGGTAAACTCGAATAAACTGCTGACAGGTGCTGTCATGCAGTTTTTTCACCTAGAAACTATTTGTAATTCAAAATTGCCCGTTTGTGATTGGTGGAAATTAAGACGAGGGAAATAGTCAATAAAATTAAAAAATTAGGTAGGTACATTAAATAAAATACAAAAAAAGACTAATCGACATTTAATTAACAATTATGAAATGAAAAAACACCTTGTTTAAAACGCCTATAAGTATTAGGGTAGCATAAAGTCGAAAAGGTAGTAGTTTAGCGCCATTACGTATGCAACCAAGATAAGGCTGAGGTGTACTACCACTGGCAACATGAGCCGACTGATCCGAGAACCGGATAAGTGATCCGGATCATTATATTGAGCGGGATTCATTAACCCGATTCTCGAAAAAGATCCGGATTGCCCATCACTAGAGACAACCATGCAGAGATAAAGGTTTAACCATGGAGATCACTGTGATGGAGACAACTGCGCCTAGAATACACTCAACTGCGTCATAGAAATAACACTATTTCTATGAAAAAATATTCTATGCTAGTCACACGCACAACAGCAGAGATAACCTGGGTTGTATTATATGATGGGGTCAACCAGGGTGGAAGAAGAAGGTGATATAGCTCCTCTCTACAGTACAGAAGCAAGCGTCCAGATAAGTCAGTATTTCGTTCGTTGTTCGTTAGATGGCGAGTAAACTAAGAACCTAAGGTTTTACCAATGAAATCCATATATTCTATAACAACTTAATTTTTAACAACAAATTATATTAAGATAACAAAAACCTACCTTCTACCCTCCTTAACGAAAATTACATCTTTTCTTACAGCATTATTATAATAATTTGCAGAACGATTGGCAATACTGTAGTTTTGCCAACTGTTCTGCCAAAATGCACAGTCGCCACCATAGAGCCTACACAAGGAGTCCGAACTGCATGTAAACAAGGAAAGTAGGCGCTGGTGTACCGTTTATTCTGAAACAATTGACTAATCTGTACCGAAACCACAGACCGAAACGCTACCAAAAGAGCAGACGTCAATACGCATCAACAATCAGCGCCGCTGGTGGTAAAAAAAATTGTGCAATTTAGAGGGCAGGTTTTGTCAATTTTCCCTATTAAGTTCGGGCTCCTTGTATAGGCTCCATGGTCGCCACAAACGCACAAAAGTGACGTTGAAATGGTTTTATTTGAATTTTAATGCATAATGCAATTTTACTACACTGAGAATAAAAATATTTTTAGGATAAATAAACTGTACCCTTGTCCCATATTTAAATATTTTTTTTATTTGGGAGCAATAAACTTTTTTCTCAGTGTAAAAATGCATAATGCAATTTTACTAAAAATGGGAAAAGTTTGTTGTGCACCGGGATTAAAGCTGGATTTATAGTTTTAAAGGTAACGGTAGAGGCAGCGGTAAAGGTAGAGGTAAAGGTAGCGTTAGCGGTATCACTTTCTGCAATTTCTTAAAGCTGGATTTATAGTTTTAAAGGTAACGGTAGAGGCAGCGGTAGCGGTACTGGTGGCGCATGCGTACTTTA